TACTACTACTACTACTACGACTACATTTATTTTTTAACTACTACTAATATTATCACTATTATTTCCATCTTCAAAGCCTTAAACCGTTAAAGCCCCTTTAAACCCAAAGGCTCAAAGGCCTAAACCCCAAAACCCCCAGAGCCTCCACCCTACGCCTCCAGGGCTCCCACCCCAAAGCCCTACGGTTTAGGGTTTAGGGTTTAGGGTTTAGGTTTTAGGGTTTAGGGTTTAGGGTTTAGGGTTTAGGGCTTACGGTAGAGGATCAAAGAACTTAGTAACTGGGGGCTGTTACTAAGGCAACTAGCTATACAAGGTTTAGGGTTTAGGGTTTTAATCAGGCAACTAGCTATACTTATACTTCCTGATAACCCCAATCTATTGCAATTTTTCAACTACGTCCCGCACCCTAAACCCTAAAGCGCTCAACCCCCAACCCTAAACCCTAAACCCTAAACCCCAAACCCTGAAGCCCTGCCTGCAGAGCTTCCAGAGGTCCGAAGGGGAGGCGCGCCGGCACGTACGATCCACAGGCGCCAGCCAAGGCCATTAGCGTGATGCCTGGGTGTAAAACCGTTTAGGGTTAGGGTTTTAGGGTTTAGGGTTTAGGGTTTAGGGTTTAGGGATTAGGGTTTAGGGATTAGGGTTTAGGGTTTAGGGTTTAGGGTTTAGGGCTTAAGGCAACATGGTTGGGGTTCAAGATGTGGGGTGGGTACTGCCCCAATAGAGTAACAGTCCATAATAGAGCTACTATTAAGGGCCTTATATATCTCTATTATTATGAGTATTATCCAAGTGTTACTGAGTGGGGGGCAATATCCAAGATGTAGGGTTTAAGGTTTAGGGGTTTGTGGCTTAGGGTCAATGGTTTCGGGTTTAGGGAGGTTCAGGGTCTAGGGCTTTGACAGCGTTTAAAACCTCAGGGCTCAGGGTTTACATGTCGGGGGGTCTGCGAGATCCTTTTAAGGGCTTTCTTCCAGGTTCCTTCGAAGCTCACAGCTGTAAATTACAAATCCTTGGTCAGCAAACCCTTAACCCTAAACGCTAAAGCCTAGTAAAGCAACATTCTAAAAGCACCAGAACTGATTTGGGTTTAGGGTTTAGGGTTCAATCCTTAGGGTTTAGGTTTAGGGTTAGTCTGGCAGCTCCTGCAGGTACATATATACATATATACGCAAAAACGCCAAACCAAACCTAAACCCTAAACCCTAAACTTTACACTTTAAACCCTAAACCCTAAACCCTAAGCCCTAAACCCGAGCCCAGGCACAGACCGAGGCCCCATGAAGGGACAGGTGGAGGTCCCGGCGCAGGACGAAGCCGTTGCTAGCAGCCAAGCCATCGAAGAAGCCTGGGTTACGGGTTTAGCATTTAGGGTTTAGGGTCTGGGGTTTAGGTTTGGGATTTAAGGGTTTCGGATTTAAGGGTTTAGGGATTAGGGTCTGGGGTTTAGGGTTTAGGGTCTGGGGTTTAGGGTTTAGGGGTTCGGATTTAAGGGTTTAGGGTTTAGGGTCTGGGGTTAAGGGTTCGGATTTAAGGGTTTAGCGTTTAGGGTGTAGGGTCTGGGGTTTACGTTTCGGATTTAGGGGTTTCGGATTTAAGGGTTTAGGGTTTAGGGTCTGGGGTTTAGGGTTTAGGGTTTTAGGGGTTTAGGGGTTGAGGGGTTTAGGGCTTAAGGGGTTTAGGGTTTAGGGTTTTAGGGTTTAGGGTTTAGGGGTTCGGGGATTTAGGGGTTTAGGGGTTTAGAGGTTTAGGGGTTTAGGGTTTAGGGTTTAGGGTTTA